CAATGTGAATTTCTCAAATAAATGATATTTCACAGCCCTGTGGTTTCCTCCCTGCTGAGATGATCATTTACGGTGGCTCACTCAGAATTGGGCTTTGACAGAATTTTTGGTCAGTGGAAGATAAATTGAAAAATTTCAGTATCTGCCTCTGTCTCTGAAGCACCATGTTCTGTAGCTTCAGAAAAATTAAATGCGAAGGCAGGGCTGAGTTTTTCCCTTTTTTTAATTCCCTCTGTTGTCTCTTCAAATACAGCCTGTCTTCCTTTGCAAAGACCATGCGATTTTGAAGACGTGCTCCTGTTCAGCCACGAGTTACAGGAGTCAAAATCAATGGCCTCTTCTAAGCTTCCTCGGGGCTTAAGACCCACAAATAGCACAGAGGAGCACAGTGCCAAGAGTTCCAGGAAAGCAAGCAAGCCGCTCTGCAGCTCAGCCAGCCCGGACCTAGGCAGCAGGTACGGACGGCAGCAGGCTGCTGCGAGCAGCGGGAGATGCTCCCCCTGCTTTGAAGCAACATCCTAAAGAGCCACGCTGGCAGATGTTAGTGAAGGAAATATCAAGATATATGAAACAATTGCTGGTGCAGAGGAAGAGAGCAGGCTGTGCCAGGAGAGGCAGGCATTGCCCCCATCCCACCCAAGTCTCCGGAGCATTCCTGGTAGCCTTATCACTTCCCACTTCCATGGCAGGGGAAAACAAACCCTTCATCCTGGGAAGCACACAAATTCAGTTCTATCATGTGGCAAAGCAGCTTTAAAACTCTTCCTAAACAGTCAGGGACTTCTCATATACATGAAATCAAAAGTCCGGGCTCCTGGCTGCCGTCAACTAGCATGGCTCTACCAGATGGCTTCAACGGAGACACACAGACTTACAGCATGTGTGGATCTAGACAGAAATGCTGTAGTTGTGACTAACAAAAGAGTTGAAGCAGGACCTTGGGACTGGAGAGGCTTCCCAAGTCCTCCTCCCCCCAGCCATCACAGGCCTTGCACCACGCGGGCCTGTTGTTAAACACATCATGCCCAGTCTGAACACAGTTTCCACATTTCAACTACTACCACATATATGGTACAGAACCTGGAGCACTGGTTCTTCCTCTTCGTTACAGTACAACGTCATATTACGATAGGTGTCTTCCTCTTACAGCTTTAAAACCCCACCGTGTTGCCCATGTGGGTTAGCTGAAGTCCATTAGTTGATAACTCAGGAACTAAAAGACATCAATAACAGGCATGTGTTAGTAAAAAAACACCAGACAAAACCACTTTATGTGCTTCAGGGATGTGATGTTGCCATTTAATTTGCTTTGGGAAAGTGGCCTCGCTGACTGCCCCCGAGTCCTGCAGCACTTCAGAAACTGCCGCTTAAGCCTCTCCCTTTGGCCATGCATGTGCTCAGGCTGACAGTTGTACACGATTATCAGCGCTTGCAAAGTTATTATTACGACACAGACAAGATAAAGAGTAAGTGAGAACTGTAACAAACGTCCACAGTAATCTGCAGTATGTGTAAAATGCCGTATGTATTTGTGAACGGCAAGCGCCCAACCCAGTGTTACAGGCTACAGTCAAGGGACTCTACGTGTGTGAGCCTCTGAAACTACCCGCTCTGAGGGACTCTACAGAGACTATTTTTCGTAATTTAAATACAATGTCAAAATACGGTCACTGAGACCTGACAGGCAGCTAATCGTCAATGAAATCTTGCTCCCAAGGAGGCATCACGTGTGTATTGGCCAATGCCACAATGATCATCACTGTATATTAAAACTAATTTTTCCAAAGGGTAGTTATTTCAAACAAACTGCCTAAGTCTGAATCTGCAGACAACAGAGAACTATATACGCAGTCAACAAGCAAAAAGCAAAAAATAGTGATTATTTCAATGAATAAGCTATAATTTTCCTATTCATAACCAAAGAGCTCTGCTCCTCTTTGGGAATGTTGAATCCAATCTGGGTTGCATTAATACAGGAGTGTGTCTTTCAACAAAAATTTACATCACTGTTTTTGAAAAGGAATTGCAAAATAGTTTCTGATGGGAAACTTTGATTTCCCCCCACTCTTCATTTCAATGAAGACATGTTTTTCTTTCTTGAAAAAAGCACTTGAGCTTTTGGAAAGGAGGTGAATCAGGAATAATGTTTTCATTCGCTGTGGAATACTCTTCTTAGACAGTGCGGTGAGATAGCAAGACCAAGACAGACATGCACATGTCATCATGAAAATACAGAGCAAGATGAATTCTCCTCACTAGGTTTTCTCTCGGTAGCCAACTGTTTATGTTAGATGGAGATACCCTTTTCCCTTCTGATCCTATAAAGCCTCGGCTGCCAAAAGCAAAGAGCAAAGTCAAGGTGCCTGGACTAGAAACAGTGATTTACCAGTTACCCCTTTCCTCTCCAGCCAGTGCTGTACCAGTACACCAGCAAGCGCCGGGAGCACTGGGTTACTGGAGGTGCCATGCTTCCTATGTGCTGTAACAGGGGCTGTTCAGCACGCTAAGAGCCGCCTTAAAAATGCACTTGGAACAATTATATTCTGTGCTGCCCTGGTGTATTATTTTTACTCCATACTATCTTTCTTGTTCCTCTGCTGTTGTATTTTGCAGCTCCGTGCTGTAAATGCCTTTTTCACCTCAGAGACACCTGCGTTTTCCCAGGAAGATATACTGATCCCTGAGGTGTGGCTGATGCATCGCTGTGCTTAGCTTGTAAAGTAGCTTGGGGTCCTTTGGGATACAGGGTGCTTTGTATGTGTCAGTTGTGATTCAGTGAAACTTGCTTCCATCTGAACCTACTGTATCAATCAGAGAAGCAACATAATTAATTATGACTGGGCTGCACAGAAGTTGCACACATCAGAAGCAAGAGTCCTGGAGTTGTTCATGCCGATGGTAGGCATGAAGATGAACAAGATGAATAGTGACACTGCCATGAACTGTGTCTGACTGCTGCCTTCTCCTGCCATCCATCATCATCACCACATGTTGGGTGGGAAGGGGAAGCTGTTCACAAAAGAAGGGTCAGAGCAGTGAAAAACTTTCGTACATCTCTATTCTCCTGTCTTCAGCAAGCGGCTTAAATTTTGTTTCAGCTGTTAGGCAGTGGATGCAGTACTTCAACACAGAAATGACAAAAGGACCCCCCTCCCCTCAGAAAAGAGAGGTTAATTTGTCAAGCCATGTAAAGCATTTTAATTACAATTCGTATAACATGTATAAATAAATATTACATTCTTTCAGTCTACAATGCATACTAGGCATATCTTGTTAAAACGTCCATCTATGTTACTGGGTGGCAGGATTGATTTTGTCCAAGTAAAAAAATCAAACTACTGAGTTTAGTAATACAAAAAAAAAAAAAAAAGAAATACATGGGTAAAGACAGGACAATGCAAGTGCTTCCGGCTAACAGTCAGGACATAATACTGCTTTCCAAAAGGCTGGATATAGCATCTTCCTTTCAGTTACAAAAGGTTTTGGATGACAATGGTTGCCTCATTGTATAGATTTTGATCTGCGTCCTCCACTAGTGTAAACTGGCACCGAGTCAACACAGTTCTGCCAGTTTACCCAACGGATCTACGACTCCGTTTTGTATTTGCTTCAGATTTATTACTGGGTTTGTATTTTTTTATTCAAACATCAGCTTTACAATCTAGCCTAAAATTTTCAGTCTTAGCTGGTCCAATGGCAAAAAAAATTCTATAAAATAGCTCCAGATATTTCTTGATCTTGCTTCAGCAATATTTCCCTCCCTTCCAACAGTCTGTCCAGAGGCCAGCTCTCCCAGTACAAGGAAATAAAAGTTTGGGGACAATCAACGTCTTTCTGTCCATTCTTCTAGCTTTCAGAGCTTGATGAGAGCTGGTGACATTAGAATAAACAGAAAATTACAGAGCAAAATTATGAATTCATGGACTTGGCAAAAAAACCCCAAATCCAGGCTGTACATATTTGGCCTGTGACCATCTCAGTTCCAGGTACATTTAAAATGCACCAGTGGGGCAATCCCATCGGTTGTTACTTCTAAATGCTAACATAAAACAGCACCATCTTCCCTTGGTGAAACATGGGAACTTTGGTTGTGGAAATTTAAAACGAACAACTAAATAAAGAATCCAAACCTGAAAGTAAAATCAATACTCTTTCAAACAGAACATATTTCTAGCTAGGGTGAAACAATGGAGGCTTAGGCATTCAGAAGAGACACCCCATGGAAATTATTAGTCAATACTTATCCCCTGAATTCTTTAAATGACAGGAGATTATTTATAGCTCACTTAGAAACAGAATGTTCTTGGTCCACTGTGAGCTTAGTGAATTGAAAATTTTCCTGTTTTTAAGATATTTAAAAGAAAAACACAAGAGGGAAAATTATTCTGTTTCAACTTACAAGACAAACAGAAAAGTAAAAATAAAAATACCAGGTAATTTCTTCCTCCTTCGTATGTAATGCCAAAGACACATCTTCACTTCAAATGAAGGAATAAAAAGAAACGGTTTGAGTGACAATCTAAAAAGTCTCCTTGTGGGTCATATGTCCATAATTGTGATGTTTTATTAGAAATACAGACAAGGTATTGTTTGTCTCTTGCTTATTCTTTTCATGTTCTTATATTCTCCCGTTTCTTTTTACAAATATTTTTGGTACTTTGAAACGTTACTATCATTATTATTTGTATGACCCATAAAACAAATTTTCACAACCTCATCTTGCCCAGTTTATCATAGTGGTCATACCATTTCCTTGTTCCTTTCTACTATTTATATTCCACTTCCTAAATCCATGAGTAGCAGAATAACCGCTGGAAAAACAACACAAAGTGAAAAACAAAAACAAACCATGGACAGTTTGGCAAATTTCTTTCCCTGATTATAAAAACTGCCTCATCATTTCTCCTGGTGATTCCTTCCCCTCCCCCTCTTCGGTCCCAATATATACTGTAGAACTGAAGGCATCAAGGTGTGGTTAAACCCAAAAAACCAGCAAGGAGCTACACTTTGTCTTTGAACTTCTCCATGTAGTTTCGTATCTCTTTGGAGTCCCCCAGGTCCATATCCTGGCACACCCACTTAATGTCATCATCATTGCTACTTAGGATTGAGTTGACAGTAGGACAACCATCGTCGGGTGGGATGGTAGTGAATGTCGTGAATTTTACCCGCTTCCGTTTAGATGTCGGCGAATGTAAAGGTTCTGGTTTCTGTTCCTTTCCGAGCTTGCCCCCTGAGTCAGCACACCTGTGAACCTGGCTCTGAATGTTCTTCTGAGCACTGCCATTGAGGAGCTGGTTGCTCTCCTCACAGCCCGAGCCTCGGTCGATAATAGTTGTGTGCTCATCCTGCTGAGGTGACGTGTCTGCTGTGTTCTCCAGCAGTTCTGCTTCATTTCCCAGCCAGACCCAGTCATGGGAATGGGTCATGGTGGCCTGTCCTTCCACCAGAACCTGCTTGTGACGGTACTTCAGTGCAAATGTTGCACAGTTTATTAGGAAGACTAGAATTGCCAGGCAGAAGACCCCTAGCAGAGCATACATCCCAATCTCCAAATCACTAAGGCCCCTAGGTGTCTGCACCAGGTCATTTTCCTCCATGCCCGCATTGCCTTTTGGGAGGTCTACTTGAGCAGGGAAGTTGGTGAAGTCTATAGGAATGTTCTGCAGCTGGCTATCGTCCAAGAGTTTGCCACCATCCAGCCTATTGTTTTTAATGACTTTATTTTTTATTACGGATTTTGCTGTGGTGCTGACTTTCCTGATGGCACCTTCCTCTCGCTCTGCTGAAGAGCTACCATAATATCGTCCATCGTGGCCATACCGTTCCTGATCTGACACTTTGTGCCGCCGGTCGCTAGCGTGGTTTTCAATCTCATCAGCATCATAATCTCCACCTGTATCGGAGTCTGCATCATTCTGGCCAAACTTGACTTTAATGTTGCCATTCCCCACAGCCAGGACACTTTTCCTCTTGGACTTCTGGCAGGCTTCAGAAATCATCATGTCCACCTTGATTAACGTGCCCTGACCTTCACCTTCTGCTGCCACAACTGGCCATTTTAAGGCAGCATTCTGGTGGATCGAGACAACAGCTTCGTCTAAGGATACAGCAGAAAGGGAGAAGTCCTTAGAGTCATAAATGTCCAGCGGAGTAACAGAGCTGTCGCTGAACTGAATCCAGGTGCTTACTACAGCTTCCTGAAAGGAGAGGGATATGGTTAAAGACAGGGTCTTAAATAAGACAGCTCAACCCATTGTAGCTCATCAATCTCGCGGCTCTGAACGGCAGCTGGAGGAAATGGAAGACAATGGCTCTGCACTGCATTTAAAGCAAACCGAGCTTCAACTGATGGGGCAGAAAATTGGTCACATTTTTCACTAAAGGTTCCACTGTTGTCCTTCCTGCAAATGTTTTGCAAAAGAACATATAAAATAATTGATATGAGATGTCCACAATACCAAAATACCCATTAACAAGCTACAATTTACATGATTTATAAAGAAAGTCATTCCTGTCACACAAAACCTGAAAGAGACAAGCCAGAAAAATTACTAGAGGCACTCGACAGAACACTTATTTTCCTCGTGTTCCCCATGCAGAGGTGTCACAGGGAGCTGTCAAATTAAAGAAGGCATAAATATCTTAGCAGGAATAAGGAGCTACCACATTATCTTGGAAACGGTTGGAGCAGAAGATTCACCTGAAAGAAAGAGACTCGTGGAACAATTGCCATTTTGCAGGAGAGAGGTTTGTTTTAAGTAAAAGACACTTTAGCCTTGAGATAATTAAAAAGTCTACCGCATTCCTGTGTCAAGGAGAGGAGGATGGGGATTCTGGTATGATCTCCACGACAAAAATACAAATGGCCTGGATTTAATTGGACTGCCTTTGTTCTCTGCAGGTAGCACTGTTAGAAGTCATCATTAGAAGCAAACACAAAGCTAGAGGTCAGCTCTTTGCCATTTGAAATCCCATCCAGATGATATAGATATTTACTTCTCCACGTCTCAGTAGCTTTCTTTGCAGGAGATTTCTTTATTTTTTTAATTTGCTCTATGTCTTGCCTGTTTAGCCAGCAGACATGCAGGCAGATTGCCGGAGTGCAACTTCACACAAAACCGAAGTTTTTTTCTTCCCAGACTTAAACTGCAGATGGCCCTAATAACTTTACACTTGGGTACATCAGAACAACCAGGCTGAAAATCACCATCAGGGAAAAAACATTGCCACCCTGTTAACGTCCAGTCATAATACAAATTTACAACCTAATACGGTTTTCAATTGGCTACAATTTGTTACGCTATGGTTATAAACAAAGGGAATTGCTACCCTTCTAGTTAGATTTAAAGCTTTTCAGTGAAAACAGCAAGGGGCATTTAGCTGTGCAGAAGGTTGGACTATACTGAATATTTGATTTCCAAAACGCTATCAGCAAGTTCTTGAGGGACTGAAAGAAGAAAAAATAAGTTGTGGCAAAACAGGAAAGAAGGCAAAGTTCTTGGTGATTCAAATGCACTTCAAACAGCTGAAACGGAGCCAGGGTAGTGCAGAAGCTGGGAAGGGTGAACTGCGTAAGGAAATTAAACCAGCTGATCTTTCATTAGAGAAACAACCCTGAAATGGCTGAACAGAGAGAAACATAAAGCTGCAGCAGGGCAGAGCTTAAATTTATACCATAGAAATCTATAGTAGAGCAAATCCAGTCGTGGGAAAGTATAAGGATTTTTTTTTTTTGTAATGGATACGTGTAGAGAGAAAAAGATGCATCTTCTCTGGCAATTCAACACCCTGTTGCCTTCCTTCTCCCTAAAACAAGAGGACAGCCTCGTGTACTGTCAGGGAGGTATGCAAGATACACTAACTTTTCATCAACCTATGGAAGGCAAAAACACCAGCATCATTTCAAGCATATATCACAACTGGCTTGACATTTGTCTGCCAGCGGTGCTCTGTTTTGGAGGGCAGAATGAGAAAATAAGTGCAGAATTTTGTACACTTAAGGTTGGAAATGATGAGGCCTGGGCCTCCTCGCAGCTCCGCTGAGGACTTCCATAGTTCCACATCTCTACAAAAGGATTTACATCACCAAATCCTTCGTGCATCCCTTAATAGCCAAACACAGCATACCTAGCGTTGCAGAGCCCTTACTATGCAAGTAGGTTTTACTGGTGGTAGAACAGCACCTCTGAGGGACCTGGGGTCTCCATCCAGACACTGGAGAGGAACACGTATGAGGAGCCATATATTCTTCTTTCCTGTCGTCTTCAAGATATCTTGACTCCTTTCTGCTTTAACAGCCCTCGGGCACCTTTCAGGTTCAGAGGTAGCCAGCATGGAAAAATTCAGCCCAAATGGCTATAATTTGACAAAGTTGTAAGCAACTTCAAAACAACTTTTATTCTTTACGCTATTTCTCCACTATTCTGCATTCCTGGTTTTATGAAGCAGAGATAGAGAAAAATGAAATGGCAGTCAGCTGAAATTTGCAGGCACGCATGTGATTTACAATGATAACAGAGGTGTGCAATAGCTTAGCCATTATTTTCAACCAGCATTGGTGTTTTTTATTTCCAAGAGACCCTTCTTTCATAGGAAGAAACAATTTTTTCACAACACAACATTGTCACGCTTATATTACGGACAGTATTAATTAAAAGGGAAAGAAAACAAATGAGAGAAAGAGGGACAGAATTTCAAATCCTGCCAAAGTATATTGTATCAGCCCAAATATTCTGTTTGGCAAGAGATCATCTCCTCTCATTCACATCATTAAAGGAAAGCTGAAGGCAGGGGAAAGAAGTGAATTTCCCAAATGATTATAAATTCTGAAAAGCTAAAAAGAAAAAAAGAAAGAAAAAAGAAATGATTTAACACCACGTCCTTCAAAGAGCTGTTTCTGCAAATCCTATGTACTGCATCAATAAAGCCCCTCTGAATCTCTGACAGGGTCCTCCAATTACTATCAGCAGATGAAGATGGATTGGAGCCTTCTTACCTGCAAAGTTGCTGCCCCTAGTCTGACGCCCTCAACACAGAGGTGAAAATTGCTTGTGTTCATTAATTATCAAGCATAAACAAATAGTTTGAGGGATTATCTGGCTCTCCAGTCTTTCTTTCCTCCACTTTTCCTCTCTTTCACATATGCACGCACAATCACGCACACACATCCTCAGTTGCACTCCCAGAACAAATGAACCACAGCTACACATTAGCGCCAGTGTCTCTTAGAGAACAGGATGATTTAGATGGTGACTGTGATGATGTGAAGTGAGTCAGACAATGTACATTAGATCATGTTAATGACAGCAAAATCCAGCCCAGAGGAGATAAAGAAACTGCTTCCCACAACCACTGTAATCATCAAATATCATGCTTTCCCTAAGCACATAAAAAACTTTCTGTATCAAAACACATTTTGTCTACATTTTCCATCGTGCCTTTGCTGTTCTCTTCTGCCATTCCAGGTGTAACTACACACCAGATCAGCAAGTTGGCCAGTTCTTCTTGATCTGCTGCAGTTCCACCACCTTTTCTGGCCTTGAATTACACTGCTGCTTATCAGTCCGAAGACGCCACTTGATAAATCTTCTTGGATAAACTTGCATTTTGCTTTTTGGTCGTAGTTTTATCTCCCTTATTATCCACTTGTTATGTTTAGGTGGGTAAAACAAAGGGGAAATTACCAGGGTACAGAAGTAACATGGCGCTAATGGAAACCACCAGTCCCTGCGGAGCTCCTTATTGCCTGACCTGGAATACTTCAAACCCTGCCATATGAGTCACCACAAACTCTATTGTTTGCTGGCTATGTCTGTTCCACCTAGATAAAACAAGGAGGCTCACACTCCAAAAGGCAGGAAGCAGAGCTGGTTTGGAAGCTCAGTAGAAAGCCCATCATACAGAGGTCTAATGAGTCCCACTGTGCCGGGAGTTGCACGAGTTGCCTGTGAAAATCTGGGAGCCACAGTGATGATGCTCTAAAGCATCATACAGCATTTGAAAGTCTCCTTGTCTTAGGATGTTCCACTAAGCATCACAGTCCGTGATTACGAAGTGTCCTTCAATACCACCTCAAAAAAGGTAGCGTCAGCTTGGTACCAGGGCGTGCTATCTTGTATTCTTCAAGCACAAAATAGGGGAGTGAAGTGTGTAGGACTGGTTGCATTTTAGAGAATTCTGCTGCTTAGAAACACAGATGTGAGGACTGATCGGTATATTTGATTTTATTCCATGCTCAGAATGAAGAGGCCTTTTAATGGTCTTCATTCACTAAAGCACAAATAAAAGTATTTGTGAATAAGCCCTCAATTGCTGGGGTCAGCTGCAATAGTCCTGGAGTGAGGCAGGACACCAAAGGAAAGAAATGGATGGCTCTGCAGAAAACAAATACATCCCTCTCTCAAATAAAGGCAAGGGAATACTGTTCTCAGCAGCTTCTATTAGACCAGCTCTGATTGTTCTATCTGGGGACTTGAATGCCGAAATGGGTTTCCCTATCACATGAAGTATCAAAGTGTTACATGTGCATTTATTTTTAACCCTGTGGCTTGTGTAGTAAAAATTGGACTTGATCATTACAATGTGGAAATGAAAGGCAGCCAAGACTCAGATCTTAATTCAAACCATGCATTCCCCTACTGTGTGTTTCTTTCTCTCCTTTTTGTCCCATCGGCTAATGTGACATTCCTTTCCAGTGGGAATTTGCTTGTATTTGTAAGGGAAGAATTCAGATTCTTATCTAACAATATATCCTTTCTCCCCTTTCCCATGCTGCTTAATTCCTTTGTCATACTTGTGAGCCATTACATTGTCAGTTTAAAGAAGGTATAAATACAATTTAAGTGTAATTTATGCTGACAGAATGGGGTAATGAATCCACACCATAAAAATACTCCTAATATCTGTTACTTAACTGTGAGACGTCAGTGAACTCTGAGAACTACTTTGCACGAAGGACATAAGCTAAACCAGGACATTATTGTGTCAGCCTGAAAGGCAGGGATGTGCAAGCAACTCTAGCTTGTCGCCCTGATTCGGGTGGTGCTGAGCACCTTCACCTCCCATCAGAGCGAGAGGTGACATCTTGGAGGACACTCCCTGAGGCTACGGATGACCTCGCAGGGTTGGGTCTTGTCACTGATGTCAACACGAGCTACACATGTGAAAGAGAAGAACTTGGCCTTTAGAAAGCACTAACATTGATCTTTTTTCCCTAAGAAAATGTCTGCGGTTTTCCAGTAGTGCTGCGAGATATATTAATACACACAACTATTTACTAAAGGCTTTCTTTTGTCTTTCTTTTATTCTAACCCATTTCAGTTCATTAGACCACATGCAATACCCTACAGTGATGAAAAAGCTGTGATATGACTGTGAGTTTCCCTGCAGAGCCAGCTGAAATGTAAGAGTCCCTGAAGCTCACTCAGATCAGAGAACACTTAAACACTGTAGGTTTTCTTTTATTTACATTTTGGAGAGGCCTTTAAGATGGCAGTGTTGATTTTAACAACAGTCAGCAAGCCAAATGGAACAGCCTTCCTACCTGAGCAGATGGCCACTAAAAATAGACTGCTCACAGCTAGAGTTTCCAAATTTTCAGAAGATATTTCAACTTTGATATTTAAAAGTTGGTCAACCTGCATTTATTTCTAGGCACCTAAATCATTGATCCACTTTTCAGTGTCAATAAGTTCCCCGTTGATTTAAAAAAAAGGAATTACAGGCTCAGCATCCCTCAAGGTCACCTCGTCACCTCAGGTAATTAGCTGCCCAACTACAGGTAAAGATTATCTAATTTAAAGTATCCAAGACAAAAAAAATTAGTTTATCTTCTTTAGATTGCTAAGTATTTGGAGAAACTGCCAACTTTTCAGGATTGTGTTTTGGCTGCTTTATGCTACTTACGACATGGGATGGTCATTATAATCAAGGCATTAATCTAGTCATTATATTCACTGAAAGAAAGTCACAGCAAAAATACTAAATTCATTCCTATGATATTGAAAGATATGTAATAGCACGATCTGTATAATGCTTTATGCCTTCCATTGCACTATACAGGTGTACTGCTTAATCTGCTAGGGATAGTATTGTGCCTGCCAGAGTACCAACTACCCTAGGACATTTGCTAACCTACGCTGAAGCTTGGCTATTGAAGGTGCTAAAGTGGAGCCAAGGAAAACATTTGACTAAGAACACATTGACTGTTTTTTCTATATAACAATGCTGAGATGTACACAATCATTCCTGAGAAAAATAAAACCTTCAGCTATCTTAACTGTTATTTTGGGTTTCAGTCGCATCAGTAAGGTTTGCATGAGTTACTCGGGCCTTTTTAAACTTGTTTGAGAGGAAAAGACACACTTAAATAATGAAGGCATTGCAACATTCAAGGATATGCTTAGTTCTGGGCCGCCCCCTTGAAAAAAACCCTCTTTCAAAAGGGCTTGATTTTCAGAAAACACTCAGCACTTGCCTTCTGAAATTCCAGCTCACTAAGGACCTCAGCTGGTATACTCCAAATCACAAGTCTCTTCTTGCAAAATTTAGCCACAAGCATTCCTACATTTGCATTAATTCTTCTAAGGGCATGTGACTTAAATGTTATATCCTTCATTCAAACTGCACATGAAAGGAAAAGACGTATGTGACTCGATAGACCACTCCTACGCTAAGTCTATTCCCTTCAATGTATTTTCTAGTGTGAAATCTATTCCTGTCTCATTTTTTTGGTGATGCAAATGCAAAGTCCCTAAGGTCTCTTTTCAACAGCCCTTCCTTGGGCAAGCCCTGTCTATAGGCTGAGTAAGACTTAGGCCTGAGAACAAATGAGTGGCTTACAATAAGGTAGGAAACGAATTGCACAGCGTGTGGAAGTCGCTCAGGCCTCCCCATCGAAGGCACTGCCAAAGCGCGGCAGTAACCAGGGACTGTGCTCAGGTTCCACAGTGACCTGGCGTGAGCCGGATCAGGACTGCAAACACTCACAGTGCTTGAGCAGCAACTGACCCTCACAAATAAGTAAGGAGTGATGCTCCCAGTAAAGCCTTCTGTTGAGAAGCGGGCAGGATACTCCTCTTTCTCCCGGTGAAGAGGAGATGGTGGGAAGACGAGATGAGGCAATGGGGGTGGGCAGGCTCCAGACTGGAGGAGCTGGAAGGAGAAGCAGAGGCTGAAGTGGGATTCCACAAGAACATGCTGCTCTATGTTTGCAGGAAACTGGGACAGAAGGCGCTGTGCATAGAAGTTGGAAAAACTAATTTGGGATTGCTACTAAGCAACCCGATTTCCTTGGGCGTTCCAGATCCTGGTGTAGAGAAGGTTTTCCACTGCCTTCTAATAGAGTCTAGGTCCTGTTTTTTCTCCAGATGGAGTCTGGAGAAGAAACAACAGATTTGAAACTTCTTTTACTGAGAAAAAGGTGCTTGATCTTCTCTTGCCTCCTGTTTTACAGTCGGTATCTTCAGTGAGCACGATGCAGTAGTGCTATCTGTAGGCCCAGGAAGGGGACAGTGGGGACGGCAGCACCCCACACTGCCCAGCAGCACCAGAAGCAGAAGGCACTGCTCAGAATGGGAGCCTGACATGCCCAGTCACTCTGTATCAGATATGTGCCACCCTGAGGAAACTGAAACTGTCTCGCAAAAGAACATCAGCTGCAACAAAATATTTCACTAAAATTGTTCCATAACACAGATGCTAGGAAAAATAATTTCAAAACAAACCATGTTTATACACTTTTACTCTTTTGTATTATTTCAGAACCTGCCAACTGTAGCGATATATAATGACACGTCATATCATATCGCCATGCCATAGTACAATCTGAGATGTCATGGTGTGCACTACTGAAATGCCCTGTCATAATATGCCATAACCTGACATTGATAAATATCTTTGCATACTCAGGACAGATTATCTATAAATCTGAGAAGTTGACAATGTATCTGTGCAACATTTCCAGATTCACGAGCTCTTTTATCTGCAATCAAAGCTATGATTCTCCCAATGATGCTGCAGGACAAATGGTGCTCTGTCCTACATAACTGAATTGGGTTAGGCGTGCTTTAGCTTTTGCTTTTACAGTTTTTGTCTGAAGACAGTATGTCAGACATGGTTTCTAAGCCCTGGAGAAGGGTATAAATGGGTTAATTACATAAGATTCTTATGTTTACAGGATGCAGTAAATGGAACAGATGGGCAACGTGTCCTTCTAGTTTGGACATTTTCCTGTCACTAAGTTATAAAACAATCTAAATTATTTTTATGTTCCAGAAAATTAGGTAGCAATAATCATGAAAATGGGCCATAAAACTTGACTTGAGATCACTCCCGATCTATGTGAGACTAAATACAGTTTCTGTGAGAGGAGTAGCTGCGGACAGAGCTAATTGCATGGTCCCCAGTCCCACTCTTCAAATCAACTGACAAAGAGCAATGAACATACAGCTTGTTCCACTGCTGCTGACCCTTGTTTTTAATCTGTTCCAGAGCAACTGTTTGCCTCGATCTGGTGGTATTCTCCAATCTTCTTTTCCATGTGGGTTGTGACCTGAAACATGCTGCTTGAAAGACTCCCTTTAGAGAGAGAAATTTGCTGGCTTAAATCAAGTAGGATCAGCACAGTGATACCCTAATGAACTGAATGACGAACCCCCCCAAAATCCATCTATAAAACAAAAGGATAGAACAGCCTGGCAGTCTGCCGTGACTCCAGGAGGGAAAAGAAATGTATTTGGCTATCTTCTGCCTCTATTTTATAGCTCTTGAAAATATTACATTGTTGTGACACACACAGCTCTGTGCTCTCTGGCATGGAAAACAAGGGCATGCTCATATAGCAAACAAGGATCACTGTCCAAAGACTGCCTGTGTTGTGAAAATAACAGATGTTGCATCATCTAAAGGAAGGCTATTAAAAAATTTAAATAACATAAACTTCAGTTTAGTCAGAACTTTTACTGCAGATTAAGTCCATATTTGAAGGGAAGAAATGAGAAGACAATTCCAGAGTACCTCTAGAGGAAAGCGATTAACATGCACACGTACTACACCTATACTTTAAAGTCTCACTTCTAAACTTGTTACGAATCGGTACTTCACATTGATAAAACACTGCCCCATCCCAAAGGGCAACAACAGTAAATATGGCGTGTACACTACCTGCTTAGGAGTATGAAGCAGCTCTTGGGCAACGGTTGTAGCCACAATAGCCCGACTGCTTACTGCGCTTGGCTGAAGAAAGAGTGAAAGCCCAGCCACCAGCTGTACTCCAAGGTCTGTTATGGTCACTTTGTCATCTAGCACAGTCACTGTCTTCTCTGCCAGGATGGAGTCAGACAGAGGAGACAAAACCTTTGGAGAAATACAAAAGAATCAGCTTAGGAAAAGGCTGATCAATTAAAATAACCTTTCTTAAGGTCATCACCCTTTCTTGTTTCCAAAGCTTTATGCATAGAAATGAAGTGGCAGAGCACGCTGAAAAGGCAGTCTGATTTCATCAGCAGGGTTGGAAAAACATTCAGTAGAGAGCTTCTGGCTGAGAACACTGCATCCAATACTGAGAGCTATACTATCTCAGCTGTGTTATTTGCATCATTTCACTAGAAGAGTCGATTTAAAACTTTCTTCCCCTGTTATTCTGTGTCCCACTATGGATGAACTCATCAGATTTACTTCCCAACCATTTCAAAGTGAGGTTTGCAACATCTAGTTGTCCTTCACTTCTTTGCTTGGAAATTCTCATTCTCCCTCTTTTCTGTTTCTGCTGGCACATAAAGGCAGTAGGATGTCCTTCCCTTTAGTGAAACTAAAGGCCATACTGCTATCTTTTGGGAGCTAAGGATAGCTAGTTCATGCACATACTGTTGTCTTCACCTTCTCCATCTCATACTTACAGTCTAGATTAGCTGTATTCACTCTTTGTGCATTGGCTTTAGTGAGAATTCAGCTGGGACAGGCCTGGGATATGGTGTTGGCCACTTGTGCCTTTCAGGGTTATTAACCAGGTTGATTTATTTTTCCTGAATTAATGTTTAAATCATAGAATCATAGAATCGTTTAGGTTGGAAAAGACCTTTAAGATCATCCAGTCCAACCATTAACCTACACTACTAAGTCTACTCTAAGCCAATCAAGGGTAGACTAGACTAAACCATGTCCCAAAGTGCCACATCTACCCGTTTTTTGAACACTTCCAGGGATGGAAATAAGTCAAAAGAAACTTGGCACAATCTAAAGATCTGTCTCAAAAAGTTAAAACGGTGCCCATCAGCTGACTGGTGGTAAACTGCATCCATGTGGGCAAGTGCTCTGACTTCTCACTCAGCCTGGAAGTGCTGCCTCTCCTAAAGATCTCTGAAGGCTCTATGGCTTCCAGCTCCTGGCCATACTGCATGCCTTGGACCACCTTGAGCTTGGATCACTGTCGTTGGGTTAATGCCGTGTGTGACACTCTAGAAGGTCACAGGAATGTAATGGGAAATTATCCTGTTTCAAGATAGCAGAACACTGTACTAGATTTATGCCCACACACAGGTTCTCTATGGGAATGGCAGAAAGTGGCAGTCTAGAGCACAGTACCTGCATCGTTGTCATTCCTACTTCCCGTCCGATCAAAATCCTGCCTTCCTGCAGCTTGGCAATGTGAGGATCCTCCAGTTTCATAAAATCCATCACCAGGTCTGTAATGTCAAACTGCCAATCTGAGCCCAGCAGGTAGCTCAGCTGACCCCAAGGGCTAGAATCCTCAGCTACAAATTGTGTGAGGACTCGCACCATGGCATGCTGGTACTGCAGGGTGCACCCTCTTCCTTTCCGCTCATCTTCATCCTCATCATCACTGTCTCTGGTGGGTCTTTTTGCATAAGAAAATGAAGCATAAAGAAATGTTTTCAAGAACATTAGAGAAAACTAACATTAGAGTGCTAATGGAGAGTACCCCCTTAAACAACAGCCCTCCCTTCTGGTTTTTTTGACCACTGCTGATTCATGGCTACCTAGCATGATGAAGGACCATACAAATGGACTATACCACTTTTTCATCTAAGCTGGTATGTCCAAACAACAACAACTCTACAAGTGGACCTTACCAGAGCACCACACTGTACTCTGTTGCACAGGACAGACACATGCACAGAAGCAAAACTCCCACAGATTTTAAAAGCTTTATTATATCTGCATATATCCGGTGCAAAGCTGGGAATTCCAGTACTGCTGTTCCTCAAGGAAAGATGCTACATTTTGGGTGCAGGTGCTGCAGTTGTTCTTGTTTAGAGTTAAACTCAACTCCATTCATTTTACAAAAACACCCAAGAATTTTAGCAACTCAAACCCACCTTTTGTTGGAAACAACTGGGACTCGCCAGCCTTTTATTTGGCTGAGTTCTGTGTCCGAAATGTCGATCTGAAGAGGCAGGCGTGGAACCCAGACTGTGATTTGCAGAGGAGCACTCAGATACTGATACGTGAAGTTCACAAGTGCATTCACCTTGCCTTTCATTTCTTTGCCATTGACAAACACATAGTCACATCTGTCAGAAACCTAGGGGGAGGAAGAGAGAGAATGAAGAAAAGGTGATCACTGCGACAAAACAAGCTCAAAGTGTAACCCTGGCATCTCAAAACCCAAAACAAACAAAAAAGGCTCCCTTCTCTTTATGCATTTTAATGATTGCCTTTTACAATGGGAGCAGCTGAATGCAAAAGTCCTTCGTTGGCTCACGAGGCATAATTATGCTGGAGATGCCTAAAGACTGGATACTCTTTATGAAGCTGGTGGTTGATTTTCGGTTTGTTATGCAGTGAGCCACTAGCCGATCACAGTGCTGTGGAATTTATGAGCAAGGCTCCTTCACAGCTTGGTCAAGAGGAATCCAACAAACCAAAACAGCTCAATGGAGGCAAGAGGCAAATCAAAGCTCCGCCTTGATGAGTATGTTCATCAGGGGGTGATGCTGCTTACAGTCTTCAAGACGAAGCTGGCTCTGGAGTGGATTTCATCCACTGAGGAGTAACAGAAGTCTACTACTTTCCTCCAAAATAAACATTATCTGTTTAAAAATGTTTACATTTTGATTAAAGCTGTAAAGTATTTCTAAACACTGCAGTAGATTTATCATTAACATGTAAATGCTGTCCTGAAATATAAGCAAGCATTATCACAGTCATGTAAGAGTTATATCAGTAATCACTTCTTTAATCAATGTTGTAATTTACAGACCATTGAGTTTTCTCATTTATAACGTTACTGAGTACTAGTGATAAAATCACTCCTGAATATATAAATCATTAAGAGGGATGCAGATAGTATGAAGTGACTCCATGTGATAAAGTCATTGTCATATCTATTCCTAAAGGTGTCATAAATGTCTGGGGAAATCCTGTGCCACATTAATCATACATTAAGTGGCTAGCAATGGGAGCTGTTACATTCCTAAATGAGCTGGTATGTCTGCAGAAATTAACAGTAAACCCAGCAGATCTCTTCAACTCCTGCTCTTGCTCCCATCCCGTCAGGATTCTATTTCATCACCCATAACAAGTATCGTTAGTGGTGGCAATGCGTCTCCCCACCTGAACATGTATTTATATTATCATCTGCTCCCTTTTATCCCCACTCCCATTCCCACTATCATTTTATTCAAATGAAGATTATCAGCTGGAAATGCTTATGTCCCCAGGCTAATCAAACAGATGGTTGTCCTCTGTGAGCACAGATACAGGAGCTAAACTGTTCCCAGTTCGACGTACACATCCCGTTTCTATCCTCTGTCAGGTTTAGGCACTGCTCACATTCTGGTAAAATATTTGATGGCGAGATTGGAGAAGAAAACATCAGAGAACATAATACAAGCACTCCTATGACTCATTCCCTAGGAGGGTTATGCTGTAACTGGGCTCTGTTGACTGAAAAGAGTACTACGTACTGCAGTACCTGACCCATCTGTCTGTCTGTTCAGGCTTCTGCCTCAGACCATCTAAGACAGGTTTAAAAGTCTGAAGGTGTCGGAAATTTGTTCATTTTATCACTATGAATGGCATGCCCTATTTTTACATGTATTAGCTTGAATGGCAATACAGAAAGGGCTTTAGCTCACGCTAGGCTGTTTCAGAACGACTATCTGATCTAATCTACAAGTACTATGCAGCAGAGGTGCGTAATGTACAATACCATGCAGTAATTCAGAACTCTTTCCTAGATGGGCTGCTCTTTCTTTCTATGGTGCCATTGCATCAGCTTCACCCTGGGAGAGGAAACATCATGAAAATGTTTCTCATGACAACTCCAACTGCACAGGCAAGCAAGGGCTACAAGTCAGGAGTCACAGCCTTGACGTCTTGATCACGGAGATGTTTCTGCCTAGAGCCGTGTACAGCTGCTAGGACATATTGGGGGCATTCAGCTCCTGTATTGGAGCTGCTGCTGTCTAACGCGAGCCTGTTGTCTCGCTGCTGGCTCAGTTGCATGGAAACCGGAATGGCCAGTGGGTGACTTTCCTCTCTCGATGCTTGGCAGTGTTATGACCCTTCTCCCCGAAGCTGCTCGCGTCTTTCCACCAGAGATGGAGACCCTGCGAACTATCTTAGACCGGATACCTAATTCTCAGATGGCTGAAGTGAAAAGGAATTCACATCTAAATAAAATACCACATATGAACGTTACCTACAGCACAACATCCTCAGTGAAGTTCAGGGTACAAGGAAGTCCTGGCTGACACAGACTCTAATTTCTGTCTTCCTCTGTAACCTCAGGAAAGTCAATTCGACTCTTTCTGTCCCTTTTCCCCCACTGGTGTAAACAACACAACCCAGGGAGCCTTGGTCAGCAACAGTCAGAGAACTGCGCTGCGCCTGGAGCACATAGCAACAGCTAGAGCCAAACGGGAGGTAGCGAGTGTGCCTGGGGGAGAAGACCCTATGTCTGGAACGTTTGACAAAGCAGCTTCAGATATGGCTCTTTGTCCTTTAGCCCTAACTTCCTTTGAGCAGAGGCTTTTGGGAGGCTTGTCAATCAGATCTAATTTAATTCTGCTTGGAGCAATAGCCATTGCCATCCTGAAACTGGTTCCATCCCATTCATTTCTATGGAGTTCATCCCAAAGACAAATGAATGAACTTTCTGAGTTAGTTGTACAAGTTGCTTATTTATGCACATAGTAAACCACATTGCACATGCTGATAAAAGATTTCTGGTAACATACTCAGCGTCAGGCTGACCAGGTCTGGTCTAGATGTAAGATTTAATATTATCTAAAGCCCAACGTTGTCAGTAATGGAACAAATGTGACTGTCGGGGAAACAACACAATAACAATAGTAGCAAAACTGCAATTCCTAAATGGTCCTGGGCTGACATCCAATCTCCATCTGTATTTGTAAAGCTGCTATATGCCTTCATGGATATGCGACAAACAAATGGCTAAACAAATATATAGAGCATCCTAAGGAGATGGCCACTGTAGCTACCACCCAGCCTTTAAAATTGCTACAGGTTAATATTTATTACTGGACATGCATCAGCAATAGTGGCAGGTCTTTATGAGTTGCACTGAGAAAAACATTATTCTTTTCACCAAGTACAAGCATTGCTAATGTCCTTACACATGTTCTTTCTTCTGTTCCTGTACTTCTGATAAAGAGGTAGCACACAGAGACTACAGGAGGAGTAAAGCTTATATTCTACTGTATTACTGCATGCATTTTAACTATGGTGCTTTCAGGTATCCATTCTTGAAGCAACAGTGATTGCTTCTGACAAAGAAAGGCAACAGACTTCCCAAATGGTGCTATGCAGGGGATGAAGGGGAAAAAGTATCTCAGCATCCGATTCACAATGTGTGTGCTCTCTGTGTGTACAGGATTACGGATGCGCCTGCTCAAGAAGTGTTCAATTAAAGCTATTCCATAGTCTACAGCTTCTGCAAGCAACACATCTCAGCTAAGCTTAGCTATAGCAGCCTAGCAGAATGAGAGCAAGTGGGTTTGCTTCCCTTACCCGTGTCTCACACAGTGTCACTTAAAAAATAAATAAAAATGATTTCTCAGCCTTGGAGAACAAATCCAGATGTACCGATTCTGCTCCAATTTACAACATCAGCAAGTCACGTATAAGGTCTGATTTGCTAAGCAGACACCCCTCACAAAAAAAGTGTAGGGGTTATGTGGTGCAACAGCAGACCCCCTTAGCTCAGATTAACTCAGATGGAAATAACATCACAGCCAACTTGGTTTTGGAGTTGTTCAACGCAGACCTGGCAAAACTATTTTGATCTGTTCTCATATGTGGTTAAAACAGATGGAAACACAGGACTGGTAGGGACAACCTAAAACACTGTCGCATGGAGCAAGGATAGAAGGGAGATTAAAAAGAGTAATAAACTAAACTGGATCATATTAGAACTCAAATTCTTTTTTAATTAAAAAGGTGTATTTGCTTAAGCATTTTTGGTAGATAAAAGTATCCCTCTGTTTTCCCCCAGGGTTTTGCAATGCTTCTGGAAGGTCACCGAACAGTACATGCCTGGCTCTCATCTGTGAGTCCTGCACACAGTAGTCTAAGGAACTTTCTAATAGAAGCTGGAGACTCTGTGAACAGCGATCTGTGTCTCATCTCCTGTAGTATTTATGCTTTTACTATGAAAACATCTTCCCTCTGAAAAGTGCTTTTTATTTTTGGCATCAGAAGAAGTGAGAGATGATGAAGGGAAAGCCTGCTTAGCCACCACCTTTAAGCGATTGGTTTTTTTCTATTCTGCGTAGCAGATCAGCAAGAAGTTTTGCATTTTAAAGAGCTTTCTGATGCTATTTCAGCAGTTTCTTTCATTATTAAGCTGCATTCAGCTATTTTCGCCCTGTTTTCTATTTTCCTAACTTCTCTCTCCAGGTTAAAACTAAAATAAAGAAGCTAGACAGCAAAAGACAGGGCTAAGCACAATTCCCTAGAGGTTTCTTCTTTGCCTTTCTTTTTTTCCGGCATTATATTTCTGTGCCTCTTTGTAACAAAGGCCATTGCCTTTCCAAATGACTTGGATAGATTCTCTCTGCAACAAATCACATTTTATTGAGCTGACAGAGAAAAGTACTGCCTGGAAATCAAGAGAGAGTCACTCCTGAATCACTACCAATGGCACTATGTGACTTTGTGATCTGGGGAGTGAATGTACCTTTCCATCTGGTAATGAACAGATTAGCTGCAGTGAATATTAAGGAGATTCCTAGTGCCGTTACTAGTCAAATGCAGAACCTCTGGGTCTTTCTTTACTTCTTTCAGATTAAGGTCTTGATCCCACCACGCCCTCTGTATTGCAGAATTGCAAGAAGGGAGCATGAGCTGCTTGAGGTCAACACAGAGGATGTGACAACGTACTGCCTTGGACTCTGCAGCCATAAAGGGGCTGTTGACACTTCTGTAAGAATATCAGTTTTGCTGGGTTAAATTCCGCTACAGATTGCTGAGAAATCTTCATTCAATTGCTGGTGGAGACAGTTTACAAAAGACAAATTTCATGTCAAATATAAGCTAAGACTGTCTTTCAAA